GCATATTTGATACGCTTCTCTCGAGTTACCCCGGGGCGAGCACCTCGAGAACCAATGAAGTTAAGCGCGACCTTTTGCTCCTGAATGACGAAGGCATCATCCAAAGAAGGCTTGATCATTTCTCGCATTTCAGAATCGTCAAAGTCATATATTATATGCTCTAAGATGTCTCTATCTGCTACAAATCCGAGTGCTCTAAATACGACCAAAACAGGGATCTCTTGTTTGATGTAAGGAAGAATAGCTACAATTCTTTGACCGATAGTGGCTCCTTTAGTACCACTTTGGCCCCCCCGTGCCATCATATTAACCCACAAAGTGCTCGCAGGTCGTGAACTGTGTTCGAGACAAGACCTGATTTCCGTTTTATAAGCATATTTACTGTCCTTCTGCTGGAAGACATAGACTATCAAGATAAGAGAATTAAGTACATACCGGTATTTGTTGCCATTTTTTCCTGGGCAATTAGTACTTTTTCCGAACCATTAATAATAAAATAGCCCCCTGGATCAAGAGGGCACTCATTAAGTTCAGAGAGATCACGGTCGCTCATCAGAGCTAAAAGGCAATACCTCGACCTGACATATAATGACTAATTAACTCTTACCGCAACATGATTGGAATTTTTCCTATAAATAATTTTTCTATTGTCTCTTCTTTTAAAGCCCCTCTCTTGTCCGTTTTCTTTGTCACATCGACGTAAAGAGGAGCCGCATAAGTTAGGTTACGCAAGCGAGCATCGTTCGGCATCATAGGTGCAGAATAGCCATCACTTTCCCAATGTGTTGCCTTACTTAAATATATTTGGCCAAATTTTAAAAAATATTGTGCCTAAAAAGAGTTACAAAAACAAATAGGAAGTACGGGAATGTCCACGATTCCACTCAGATGCTGAGCCTCTGCTCTCAACTCAATTACAGGGGATTCTTCGACTATCTTTTGCAGAGAAGTCATTATAAATTCATCAAATGAGTCTAATTGTTGACGCACAAGACCCTTTTCATCAAAATAACTACTGATAACTATCCAACAGGCTTCTTGCCAAAGATCAGGGGTGATTTCATCGTCTTCCTCTACACCATCTTCGTCTTGCTGCATGTGACGGGAATCTATATCATCATCTTCGAATTCCTCCAGGCCCTCTTGGAGATAAAACGTATCTAAGTATAGAGCAATATAGAAGTGGATGGAAATACCAGTCATCCGCCGAAGTTAACCAGAGCGCTCGAAAAGAGAGTGCCTACAAAAAACTTTTGAAAAGATCACAAAAATATTTATTAGATATAAAAATTACATACATAACCTAATAAATACTTTTTAATAGTAAATCAAAACATACAATACTTTAAGAAAAAAAGGATGTTTTGTTCATGTTATAAATAATTTATAAAGATTTTTATCTTTAAAAGCCTTAATATGGTCATTTTTTATCTAAAACTTTCTTAATTAATGCAGTAATACGTTATAGTAACCGGTACCGCTCCTCACAACCTCCCTTACTCCAAGAATGCCGGTTAATCTTAAACAAGTTGGGTGGATGTATCACTCAGGCCCGTCTAAAGGAGATAAGCCAAAAATAACGATACCACCTATATCACAGATTCCGAATATTGGTGGGATGCCTGATTTCCCTGAAGATACACACAAGTTTGGCCCACGATTTCGCTCTTTTGACACCCCTTATATTAAGCTTGCAAAAATGGGGGGGAGGCCAAATCTCCTTACTTTTAATCAAAATGTCCCGAATAATGGCCCTCCTTTAAGTTATCCACGCAGTGAGTGGTTCTATTTAGAGGATAATAGGCTACAAACTGCGGATGAACTTGAGAGCAAGCCTAAATACGAGTTTAGCACACCTTGGTACCTAACCGACAGTGTACCTGTTAAAAACCGGGAGATTCCTTTGCCAGAGCCTATAGTCACTGT